GCGCCCGCCGCGCCCCGCGCAAATCTCATTACCAGACCGCACTCTGCGCCCAGGAAAAAAGGCAACTCGCAAAAAATACTGGGCTTCGAAAAAATAATTTTGAATTTTGAACACAGTCTGATGGTGGTCGGCGAACCCGTCGGTGATTCATTTGATGCTTGCCAGTTTCAAGGGCCAGCCCTTCGTCCAATCCCATCTGGGCTGGCGGCTGTGTAGCTGTCATGCGGGCCTCCGACGGTGTGCTCCGCGGTATCTCAGCGTGATGGCAAAGGCGGGGCGGCGGGGGCCCTGTAAATAGCGGGACTCGTCGTCGGGGCGGCCGGGGCGGCGGGGCGGCCCGAGTGGAGGCGAGGCGAGGAGGCCCTTTCAAGATATTCCGAAACGCGCGGCGGCGGGCGCTGCGGTCTGCGCAAAGGATACGGGGGAGAAATTGCGAATGGGGAAAGGGGGTGGGGGGTTCACAGCTTGAGGGTCGAGCGAGATGAGAGAGAGGAGAGAGGGTACTGCGGGGTGGAAAAAGGAGAGGGGTGGAGGGGGTGGAGTAAGACGGCCCAGATGAAAAGCAATCAAGGAGATGAGACGAGGGAGAGAGAGGAAAGGAAGCACGCCCCTTTGCGGCGGGGCCGCGGGGGAAGGGGGACGGGGCCACTGGAGTTCGAAGAGGCAGCGGTTAGGTACGCCCCGCACGCCTCGCCCACATGGCCCTTGGACGACGCACACACGCTCGCACACACTCACACACAGACTTACACGGATGCTCCTCGCATCATCAAAGTTTAATCATTCCGAGACACTCCTCGACTCGCTGCTGCTGGCTGTCCCAGTGCCTTCCGCGAGTCCCTCTTCCGCTCGAAGTACTGGCGCCGCGAGGACTTGCCAGACGTGCAGTCACCCGCGAGATATGTACTTATCTTTTGAAAAGAGAAAGCAGAAAAAGGATGGTTGGGACTTAACTTATCTTAACTTATCTTTGCGCAACTCTCGGGCTCACCCACTTGCATCCAGCACATCAAGCTCAATCCCGAGTCGGCTGACCCCTCCTGCCCCGTGGATGATTACTTGTTGCTTGATGCACATGATAGCTGCGTTTATCCTGGCCCGCCTTGCCTACGGCTGGAAACGTAAACAATAAACCCAATGTGCCGTTTTTTCCCTGTGTCCGGTGGCAGCATTTGGCACGAGCGGCGTCATCGCGACGGACGTGGACAAAGCATCGGCGCTGCTGGCCCTGGTGGGCGGGGGCCGAAGCACGCCGAAGCACAACACAAATAAACACCGACGTTAAAACGCTGGGCGCTGGCCACTGACTGAAATAAACAGGGGCGTTAAAATACATGGCGTGTTGTGCAGCTGCAATGGGGGGAGGGGGGGGGGCTGTGCCACTACCACTATACAGCAGCAGGGTAAACATAAATCATAGATTGCCCGAAATAACAGCAGACTGGAGCGGCGCGGCCCGCCCAGTGCACAGAAAGAGAGTGGGCGTGTGTATGTGTGTGTTTGTGAATGCTGGTGTGTGTCTGTGTGAGAGAGACAGGCATTGCACCAGGGACTAATGCGAAAATATACGGCCGTTCTGTCGTGAGTGCGATGCCCATATCGCAGCGTGCGTTTTAGTTTTGCCCGTTCCCAGTCCACCGAGTGGGGCGCAGGCGGGGCCATGGCAGATAAGAGTGCCCATTAGATACTGCTGCTTGCACGAGCCATCGGTCTTTTACTCCCAGAATGATGCAAAATATTGAGACAAGGCTAAATCAAGCTTTTTACAACCGTGCAACCCCCTCATTTTCTTTCCAGCTGGCTTCGTTCTGTGCGAAGTGTCCTCCAGCTTGGTTTGAATTGATGGTGAGCGCGGGAACGCGTTTATCCGTCAAAGAAATTCCATCGGGCGGCGGGGCGCTAGTCCGCGCTTTGTGCTCCGCGCTGGTGCGTCATGGCGCTGGATTTTGCGCGATGGTTATGCATGAGCGACTTTCGCCGCATTGTTGGCACTGGCCGGACGCATTGTTGCCGAGCGGCATTCCCGTTTGATAAATTATCAATTGTTGCACTCGCGGCCTTTTGTTCCTCGCGGGGCCTAACTGCACCGCCACTGCGGGGCGTCGATCCTATTGTGCCACGGCCTGCCGCCAAAAAATGGGATGTGAAAATGTTTCGTTGTACGCATAAATCGTATTTTGTAAAACGTTTTTCAGGCTTGAACGAAGCTTTCCTTGTGCTAGGTCACGCTAGAGGACTGTTGTCAAACCAAACAAAACCCCATATAAAATAATACGCGTCATCATTTGCACAACATTCTGTCTTTTTTTGCGAGTTTCTTTTGAATCATATTTGTTGCCGTCATCAGCGGCACTGTGAACCTCGCTGCGCTTGTGCATGGTGCACGCGGTGCATTGCCATAGCCATTCATTTATTGGCGGCGCCGCGGTTCTGTTTTTCCATCCATGTTTAATGGATTAGCTGCCACCTGGCTGTTGATTCAGCGCAGCGCAGTGCCAACCTCGCCATTCAACATGCATCGCTGTGTTGGTACCGGTACGAATCGCAGGTACTCAATGAGCGAGGGTAGGCAACCCTGGATAAAAACAGTGTAAGCCATTTTACTAGTTTTCCAATATTTGTCCATATTTTTTTTTTGGAATCCTTGGCTTTGTTGAACAACTCGACCGGCTTTGATTGAAGTAAATCCTCGGTTGTGACCTTTTTCTAGTGGATATCGTGGCCCTGTTCGCATAGACAGACGCTCCGCTCCACAGGGAGCGGCAAGACGGGTCGGGTGGAGCTGGAGGGGGCAGGAAGAGTTTCCGGGAGGAAGGCTGCTCTGCCGGTGGCGCTGATGGCTCAAGTGCCAGGGAGCCGGAAAATTCCGAGCCGTGGTCTTGCATAATACAGAGTTTATATCAGCAGAGTCTGCGGAAGATATGCGCGTTCGCTCTCCAACTTTGCCCTTAATCCAGCAAGCTGGCAAGGACGTCCCCGTGGGGCGCGGCGGGGCGGAGCGGGCGCAGCAGCGTGGCGCAGCCCTGACAGCTTTCGGAGTTTGCTGCTAAGCCCCGGGTGGGGCGGGGCGGAGGACGTTGAAGGCAAGGAGGAAGCTTGAGTTGTTACTTAGACCTATCGAAAGGTCCGCTGAGTCAAAGAAAGACGCCTTGTTTGCATCGCGTGTTGTCTGCTCTAACTAGTCGTATACCTGATACAACTAAAGATCACACGCCCCAGCTAAAATTCAGCTGCAACAGTAAGTTTTCGTGGCTGTCATGTAGGCGGCCATTAATGTTGGTCTGTTCAGTTTGAGCTCATCTTTTTTCCCGTGCATCTGAGTGGAAGCTGCACTGCAACTTCACTGAATTGGTTGTCGGCTTCTCCGCATTCATCTCCCCAAACTACGCCAGGCTCCGCGGCGTGGGTGCAGCTTGGCTCCCCCGAGGAATGAACGTGGGTGCCGAACTCCCCGGCGCGACCAGACACCTCGCGGAACCCGTTCTCCGGCCCGGTCCTCCGGTCCCCCGGTCCTCACCTGACGAGTCTGACCGCGGCAGGTCCCGCCGCCTACGCCAGCCAGACTGCAGCATCCCCCGCAACCAGTTCGACTGCATCTACGCATCGCGGCGTTCTTTGTGAAGCGCGTGAGATGGTGGTGTGCGTCTGCGATTTGGAGGCACTGCAAAATTTGTTTCGGAGACTACAGTGCGAAACAAAGGTGAACTCGCACTCGCTCTCGTCCGGGCGCACACGCGCAATGAGGTGGGCATGCATGCCCGCTCTATGCGCGGCTAGACCTGGCTGGGTGGCGCCACAGGTTTCCCTGCCACTCCCGCCTCCATTGAGGGCTGGACAGACCTGGCGGGCCTGGCGGGGCGCAAAGTACGTCATGATAGTTATTGCCCTGCGCAGCAGCCCTCCACCAGAACCTACTTTACTCATTATCGGTCTGTCCACGCTAACCAAATGAAAGGCCTTTTCTCCTCTACAGAGGACTAGGATTCCAAGAGATGCAACCGCTGGACATCCTCATAGCAGTAGGCAACAACTTTTTCAGTTTACGCCCAGGAGTGAGGGTGTGTCCTTGGAGTAGCACTGAGGCAACACGGGCAAATCATTAAGTGTTGGCTCGATTCTTTTTCCTTTTAAATCTTCATCTTTTTTGGAAAGCTTTTTGACTGTACTTTTAAAGGCCATTTTCACGTCTTGTTTGGGAATTGCGATGCCCGTCTTCCCTTCCTGGACACGCCGCGCCGCATGCATGAAGTATCCCTTGCGGCTCCGTCCGCCCCCGCCGCGCATGGAGACTTCAACGCACTATGGTCTCTTTTAGACGGAGACGCGCACTCCCTCAGACGTCCATAGTCTTTGAAATTGTTTTTGTACTGAAACTTTTTATAAGAATCTCAAAACAGGTCGTTTTGTGATACACCTCCGAGTCCATTTCAACCCCCCCATGCATCAGCTTTGGGGGTCAAATAGAATCCCCCTTATCCGGAAACTAACACATACTTGACTTTTTCGGTCAACACTTCTCGCTAATTCTATCAACAGTGCGAAATTGGATGCAAATATGCACCCCTGGTGCACTGTGCGGCATTATGCAGCGTTTACCGCATTCTTTGTCCCCTCTTTTCGCGGTTGCATCCCCCCGTTTACCCCTCGCCTCGCGAATCCGCGAGTTTATTACTTCAGCCGTAGGGTGAAACGGTCCGTTTTGCCTCAAAATAACCCAAACATTTATATAAATTGGAAAAATAATGAATAAGGTAGTATTATTGCAAGTTAAAAAATTAAGTTGAACCAATTTATTGGTTAAAATGGTTACGAGTTAATGAGAGCAATAATAATAGTCAAAGCAGAAAAGGAACGAAGTTCTAACTTCCATGCGTTCTTAAAATGATAAAAACAAGGAAAACCTAAAAAAAGGGATGCTGGCTCAAAAAAGTCTGTAGCTTTTAAGGCCTTTTGTCCAGAACGACGTCTGGGAACAGATTTTTCTTTTCTAAGGCACTTACCTCGGTGTAAGGTTATCCAATAGCTTGAATAGCAGAAGTATCCAAAAACTCCAACCACTGACCACTTTCACTTCTTGAAGAGATCCACAGGATAAAATCATAGCTCATAAAATTACCCAAATTCTGAAGGAGCACTGACCGGTGCGAGAGACTGGCGCGCGCGAGGGGCCCTGGAGGCTGCCCAGCGTCCAGGGCTGTCCAGCGCCCGGCGCTGCCTGGCGACGCGGGCCTGGTGGCGGCCTGGACCGGGCCGGGCGTCATCCCTCCGCCAAAAAATACGCCCAAATGAGGGCGAACCGGCCGCGGCCCGGCAGGCTGGACGAGAAGCTGGACCGGGCCAGAGCCAGAGGTGTAACGAAATTTCCCCTCCGTCGCTCTGTGCCGCTGCCGCCCGCACCCCCGCCTCCCCGCAGTCCGCGCGTTTTTCCGCCCACCGCTCGTTTGCGTCTTTTTTCCTCCCTCTCTCTCTCCCGGTCTCGTCCCTCTCCGCCCCACGCCGCCCCTCGCCCCGTCTCTCTCACTCCCGCCTTTTTCCCGGGACGCCCCATCCTCGTCGCACCCGCAGTTCGTCCCTCTCTCCACACCATTTTTATCACATTCGCCTGCCTTTTTCGGGAGTGGGGACTGCTGGGGCTGCTGGACGCTGCAGCCCGCGGCCCGGGCGGAGGCTGGCGGGCGCGGCGGGCGCGGCGGGCGTGGGTGGAGGGGCGGACACTTTTATTCGTAGTGGGGGGTGGCCGAGCGCGCTTTTTGGACGCCGAAAAAGGGTGCCAGGGGAGGGGGAAAAAGAGGGACATAGCACATACACACACCCACACGGACGGACACACACACACACACACACACACACACACACACACACACACACACACACACACACACAGCGGGGCCTATGGGGAGGGGAGGTGGTGCTACTGGATTTGGGGCGCTAGGACCAGGAGGGACAGTGCGAGAGAGAGAAATAAAGAATTTGGCCGGCCGAGCGAGGGAGAAAGAGTGCGAATATGTGTGCATGTGAGCGTTGAGTGTGTGCGGGAGTGGACCGCATGGTCCGGGGTGGGAGATATTCGTGGTGGTGGGGAGAGAAAAAAGTAACGGACAGAGGGACATAGCGAGAGCGAAAAAGGCTGACGACACTCCGTCTCTTTCTCTCGCACAGTCATATACTGCTTTTATTCGCGTCTTTCTGCTCCCGCTGTTCACGCGTTGACCAATGGTCGTAGTGTCCGTCCGCCGCGCGCTCCGCCCGGGTGGCCCGCGCTGCCCGCCGACGGGGACCGACGGGGACCGACGGGGACCCCCTGCGAGGCTCCTTTGCGCGGGCCCGTGGACGCCGAGACGCCCCGCAGTCACCAAGGCGCGAAGGGATCGTCTGCTCTTTCTTAGGTCAGAAGTTCCATGTGTTTCTTAGGGCCGAAAAAGAGCCACACCGCTACCGTTTGACAAACCACGTCTATGGACATGAGGGTGCTCCTCCGAACAGGTGGCGCTTGTTTGAAGTGAATTCTGTTTGAAGTGAATGTCGTAGTGATGCTCTCGCTGGCCGTGTGCTTTTGCTAGACTTGTGGTTTAACTATTGTGATCAGTTTTTGCACATCCATGATGGTTTTGCGTAAGCTTTCCCAAAAGTTTCCATCAGAAGCTGATGAACCTACCCGATGGCGTTCTTCATCTGTCGCAGGTAGATAGGTCTTCCTTGCCTCTTTGCGTTTGTTTCTTTCTACAACGGTCTTTGCAGCGTGCGGCGGGTTTGGCCGCTGCGCGTTGGCGTCGTTGCAGTGCCGAAACGAGAACGAAAAAGAGAGTCCGCCCCCACTGCAGGAGCGCTGCACGCTGCACCCCCGCGTCCGGTTTGGCCGGTGCGAGGGAGGCAGATGGCTCGACCTGTACTAGAGCCTGTCCCGCCCGGCCAGGTTTGGCTGGGCCATCTTCACGTCGACTCGGCGCGTTTTTAGTAAACCTGCTGGACCAGCTCGTACACCCGCGCAATGCAGCATCCCCGTGGGTGCATCGCTGGCTGTGTGTGAGTGTGGGTGATTGTGTTTTCATCACGGGCGTGCGTGCGTTGCCTTAGCGATCCAGCTGCCCTCGTGCGTAGGTGCAGTCTGGCCAAGCTCTGTCCGCTTTTCTTTGATTATGCCGTGTTGCTGACGGGGTTGTGACTGCAACCGAATCCTGCCCTAGGGGGCGCTCGAGACCTAAACTTGGGTGCTCCAGTGAACGGCTTCGTAGCCCCGATGTCCTAGGTGTCAACTTTGGCAAGAAAAGATTTGTTCATATTCGCTCGAATATTGCCACAGCATGACACGGAAGAGCATGCCGGTGGCTCCTCCGATTCTACTCGAAGGCTAGTTTATTTGATTGACAATTGTTGATTGACGAAGTTGATTTGACAATGAACTTTAATTTGTGGTTGCTTTGCTGATTGCATGTAACTATAACGAACTAGTAGTTTGCGAAACCTTCCCAACAGGCCACGTGAACGAAACCGTGCGAGCTGGGCAGGTAGTTTCTGAGCCGTTTCAACCAGGCCATGGAATCCTTAGACGTTCACGGGTAGTACCATATCTAAACAGTAATATCCTCCTTCAATATCGCACTATGCATTAATGCCATCAATACATGGGCTCCCGCGCAAATATTTCCACACGGGTGCACCGGGCTTCGATTTTCCAAAGATAACCGTCAAGAAACAACTCTGATTCCGCCGTTCGTTTGAAGCGAAGTGCTCAAGGTGGTCTTTGGCGTCGTCTGGCCGACTTGTGGCTTGGTCGTCGGCCTTCGGCAGGCGCGGCCAGGCTTCCCGGACGATACACTGCATGCAACAGGTGCGCGGGACGGCTCGGCCAGGCTCGGCCAGACCGGACGGGTCAGTCGGCGCCGCAGACTGGGCCGGAAGAGGGAGAGGGGGGAGGTGAGGGAAGGGCGAGGTGAGGACGGGTGCGTTGCATAAGAGAGGGTGTCATGGAGAGACTCATTACTAGATTCCTTGAAACATATGAACGAGGTTAAGCAAGCATGGACGAAGAACGTAAAGATTTTGTCACGAAGGCCTTGACCACACGCACTCGCCTGATATTCCTCGTGTGATCTTAAAGGATCCTGTGCCGGCAGGGTGGGTGATCTGTGACCCCGAAGCACCACTAAGGCCTGTTGTGTACGTCGACGAAGTGCACTCTGCTCACACTCCACTAGCCCCAACTTTCCCAATCATAAACGCCTCTGCACTTTTCTTCCCTCCCCCCACCCGTCACCCCAGCGACCCTCTTCAAATTGCGTTTGTGCGAATTCACGGCCATTACTGCAGCTCGTAATCGCGCGCAAAACGGCCAGCGGCGCTGCTGCCCTCTGGCCCGCCTCTGGCCTTCCCCGCAGCGATTAGCCTTTGGCGGTCCCCTTCGGTCCCTGCGCCAGTTTTAACGCCCCGCGTCATATGTGCGCAAGGGCTGCAAATGGAAATGAAAATACGGCTGTCAGCGCTCTGCCTCTCCCTCACACTCGTTGGGCGGGGCATGGGGGTGCGAGAGGGATAGGGTGATGATGCACCATGTTCGGAATCGGTCGGCTGTGGGAGGGAGCAGGGCAGCGGCCGAAACGAGCTTCCAAATAGAATATAAAAGGCCGGTGGGGAGGGCGCTGCTAGGGGGCCGTGGTCGCGGTGCAGCAGGGGCTTCTTGCAGCGAGGGGCGCTTGGCCAATCGGGAGAGACGGGGTGGCTAAAATTAAACCAGATAAAGATTAAAACATCAAAACCCTAGTGAAATAGGGATCAACACTTGAACGCGCAGTCCTAGCACTCTTCTGGTCCATAGACTCAAGCCATTCTTCTCGATAAAGTGGCATTCGCAATAATGGTCAACCAGTGACTATCATCTCCTTCCGCAACGTGACGGTGTCCCTTTGCACAGACCCTCCTTGTCCCCGTCTCTGCAACGCCTTCCCTAGCTGGTTTGAGAGAACTGGCCGTCGCTGCCTTCACGATCTCAGCGTTCCACTAGTTTCTAGTTTCTAGTGGACAACGCGCTTTGGCCCATGGCCGACGCTAGAGCTGCACCGTGGCACTACTAATTTCAAACCAATTTCCATCAAAAGGTCGCGGCGTGCGGTCGCGTAATTGGCGGCGCAGAGGTGTGGCGCTCTGATGGCCGTGCGGCGCGGCTCTCGATAAAATTAGAGAGAAATGAGAGAGGGGCGAAGTCCATCCGCACCTCTCTCAAAATAAAATATCGCCGTATTTTCTCGCCGCGAATTCATCGCGCGCAGTGTCACTGGTTTGTGAAGGCCGCCATCAACGCGCTGTCAGACTCGCGCTGCAATGATAGCCATCATCGGCATATCGGCACGCCCGCAGCAGGCAGGCCGGCCGGGCCGGGAGAGGGCCGCGCGGTGCAGCGCGCCGCGCCACACAGGCCCGCCCGCCGCCAACGATTCGGAACGATGCGTTTTGATGGAAAACTCAGCCCCCCTCCCCTCCCCCTGCTTCCGCCTCTGTCCGGCACCTGATCGGTATGCGGAAGTTCCAAGTGCGTGCCATTGCCGGGCGTTGCGGGGCGTTTTGGGGAGGGGAGCGTTCCCGGTCCAACGCCTCGCAAAGTTCCACCTCGCCACACCAGAAAGGCTGCGTGGCATGGCGCCGCCGCGGGGGAGATAGCCCGGAAAAGAATGCGGTCTGATTTTCAAAAATAGAAGGTGCCTGACGATGTCGCATTTTCACAGTTTCCTACTTTCCGACACTTTGTGTCTCTTCTACGGTTTGCTGTCCCTGTGGGGTGTGGCGGCAGACGAGTCGCGCGGCCCCACCCCACCCCGCCCCGCCCCGCCCCGCCCCGCAGAGTCCCAGAGGCTGCGGCACGGCGAGGTTATTTGCCCGATGAGCCTCGACCGAGCAGCAGCCTCGACTCGAGTTGACAATGAGGCGTGCCCACGTGGGAAATAACGCAGAGCGATACGCCCCAAGTCTGCACCAACACCACCACCCCCTTTCCCCAAACCCTCTCGTCGCCTCCCCACCCCTCTTCTTTTCCCGGTTTCTCTTTCCAGCCTCGAGCGAGTTTCATCCACCACAACTCCATGGTGGATAGCGCTACGGCTGGCAGTCAAGGCGTACCCGAACCTTAAATCAGTTTCTCTTTTGTGCCACGGTCTGGAAGCACAGGCATTGGAAACGAATACTGTACATTTCCTTAGTCTACCGGACG